TCATTTGCTAATCATACAACCCACATGTAAACCATTCAACGTGCACATGCTATGTGTGACTTCTTTTTTTTTGTTATATATAGATACATATATATATATATATATACACACACACACACACACATGCACATATGGAACAGATCTCATCCTATGTATGGTATGAAGAAAAAAATGTCACCAATGTTATTCTTCTCTTATTAAATAAAACGACTAAGATTGAGAACTACCAAAAGCATTGTTGTATGCCTCTAAATTATTCATTTATAAGTATACGTTAACATCCTTTTTTTGTTGACATTGATTGACATCATATACATATTACTCTATAAGTTTATAAGCCTGTTATGCTAATATCTCATATGTATAATATACGTATACATTATATATTTTATTATATTATATATATAATATAATAAATATATTAGTTTATTATAGATATTGTGTGCATGAAATATATGAAGCCACACCCCTCAAAACTCCCTCGAAGGGAATAGAAGCACAAGATCCCATAACAATGGTGGAAGAAGAAACAAAAAAGATAATGGCAGCTCTCTCAACCCTCAACCCAACACAGCTCCGAGTTCTAACTCACTCCATCCTCAACCTCTCTTGTCACCATCTTCACCGTCTCTCCTCCATCCTCTCCTCTCCGTCTCTCTTCTCTCTAACCATCCACCATCTCATCTCCCTCTCTCCCTCCTCCAAATCTCTTCTCATCGCTCGCCACCTCCTCTCCCTCCTCCGCCTCCTTCTTCTCCACTTCCACCCCCAAGATCGGCCGCATCTCTCCTCCGGACCTCCCGCCATCAAACTCCGAGACCTTGATGCCGTCTTGCTCTTGCTCTTCATCTGTGAAACCCACCATCACCACCCACAAACCCTTCTGGCCGGTGACCCATCTGAGTGGCGCGAAAGCTTGAGTAAAACCTTCTCCCACGCCATGTTAAGTAATTTGTCTGAAATTGGGGGATACAATGGTGGAGTGTTGATTACTTATGCTGAGACGGTGAGTAGGTGTTTGAGATTTGTTAGGATGGTTGATAGTTGTAGTGGTGGCCGGATGGAGCGGAAAGAGGCTGCAGCGTCGCCGGCGACGGTGGTGGGATTACCGACAGTGGAGGTGAGTGGTGGGTGGTGTAGGGTTTGGGAGTACTGTACTGTATGTAAAGAAAAAATTGAAAAGAAGGGAAGAAAAGGGGTGTGAATTTGCCATGGTAAACATTTTATTCCCATTGGGAAGTTGGCATTATTGGCCCTGGTTTGAAAAAAAAAAAAAATACCTTGTCCCCTTGTTGGCAGGGTTTCCACCTTTCCCTACCGGAAGGATGTGGTTTTGAAAAAA